GCTGCAGACCTGCTCCGAGGTTTTGCAGAAAGCGGCAGAGGCATTGACGAGCTTGAGGCGCCCTTTCATGTTGAGCATGAGCTGCTGCCAGTGTGACGCCACCTTCTCAGCACAGTTCCAGATCATGTCCATGTCATAGTGGTTGGCCTGTAGCATGGCTTCCACCTTCTGCTGCACTTGCAGCGCGCTCTGATGTGTTTTCTCGATGGCATGCTGGAACTGCTTGTGCTCTCATTGGAGCTGCTCAGCCTCTTGTAATGAGCTGGCTGTGGTATGTCCGGCATTTAACATGGACTCTGTTGCGGATCCAACCCAGCACCTGCTTCTCTTCTACCTGCAGGTGGCGCAGCTGCACGCACTGCTCCAGGTGTTTCCGATGCTGCTCTGCGGCTAAATCCAATTCCTGCTGTTTTTTTATTTTTTTTTTTTTCTTTTTTCTTTTTCTTTTTCTTTTTTTTTTTTTTTTTTTTGAGACGGAGTTTCGCTATTGTTACCCAGGCTGGAGTGCAATGGTGCGATCTCGGCTCACCGCAACCTCCGCCTCCTGGGTTCAAGCAATTCTTCTGCCTCAGCCTCCCGAGTAGCTGGGACTATAGGCACGCACCACCATGCCCATGCCCAGCTAATTTTTTGTATTTTTAGTAGAGACGGGGTTTCACCATGTTGGATCAAGATGGTCTCGATCTCTTGACCTTGTGATCCACCTGCCTCGGCCTCCCCCTGCTGTTTTTCATGAAGAAACTCCAGCAGGTCCTGGACGCGAGTTGCCATATCTACATCTCTGTCGCAAAGCAGCTCTATGCCAGAGGCCTGGACCTCATTGACTTACTGCAAAAGATCTTGCCCTTGATGGATGATGTCAAAAGTCAAGTTGTTCACGGTCAAGGCTTTGTCTGCATGGTGCTGGAGGCGCTCCTCTGTGATCGTGAGATCTTCTGTGTCTAAGTCATTCATTTGCTGAGAAAGTTCATCATTCCAAGACTCGAGGTCTGAGATAATGTCGATGGCGTCCCCCTCGAAGATGAGCAGCTGCAGGAAGAGTTCCAGCTTGATCTTGCGCTCCTGGAAGAGCTCCTCCATCTGTGACTGCGCCTCCTCCAGCTGCTGCAGCACCGTCTCGATGTGGTTGATGGAGCTGTTGTGGGGGGTCTTGTTACTGGAGATGGCAGGTTTTTTCTTTAAAAAAAAAAACTTTTCTTTAAAAGTCTTTTGTTGTTGTTGCTATTTGGCTAGCAACAACAATTGGTTTCAGAGTTTGCAGGCCCCCAGTTTTGCACAGATGCTGAAAAAGAACCTCCAGTTCAACCAGCCACACAGACGGTAACTACACCCACAGGATGTTTCTCAGAAAGTTATAGCCTGTCCAAGATAGCATCCAAAGTTACACAAGTGACAGGTAATTTCCAGAACTGTTGCTTTCCAAGAGTCTTTCATCTATTTCAAATCCTGTCCTTCCTCCAAAAAAAAATACCTAAGGAATTTATAATGAAATACAAAGGTGGAGAGATAAATCCTGTGTCAGCCTTGCACCAGTTTGTACAAATGCAGTGAGTTCAGCTTGACCTTAAGGAAACTGTGACAACAGATAATGTTATGGGACCGTATTTTGCCTTTTGTGCTGTGGTAGATGGTATTCAGTACTAGACTGGACTGGGACAAAATAAAAAGGAGTCTAGATCCAATGCAGCAAAATTAGCTCTTGAGCTTCTGCAATTGGATGAACCTGAACCACAAATTTTAGAAACATCAGATCCTCCTCCTTTCCCTGCAGAACCTACTGTTTTACCTGAACAGGCATATGTTTCAAAAGCACATTATGAAGGGAGATATATTCAGTATGCAAAGATTTCACAGATCGTTAAGGAAACATTTAATCAACTAATTTCAAATCATTCAGAATGCCTGAAATGCAGCAATTCATTGGCTGCTTTTATAATTGAAAGAGCTGGACAGCATGAGGTTGTAGCTATAGGCACAGGTTAATACAACTACAGCCAGGGCATTAAACCAAATGGAAGAGTATTGCATGATACTCATGCTGTCATTACAGCAAGAAGGTCTCTTCTTAGGTACTTTTACAGACCACTTCTACTCTTCTACAGCAAAAATCCTGCTATGATGGAAAAATCAATATTCTGTACAGAACCAACTTCTAATCTACTCACTCTTAAACAGAATATCAACATTTGTCTTTACATGAACCAGTTGCCTAAAGGATCAGCCCGGATTAAGTCACACTTACGTCTTAATCCACATTCTATATCTGCATTCGAAGCCAATGAAGAACTGTGTCTCCATGTGGCTGTTGAAGGCAAAATTTATTGACTGTTTACTGTCCTAAAGATGGTGTTAATAGAATAAGCAGTATGTCCTCAAGTGACAAATTGACAAGATGGGAAGTGTTTGGTATACAGGAAGCATTGCTGAGTCATTTTATACAGCTAGTTTACATCAGCAGTATACTGGTTGGTGATGGGAATTGCAATGATACCAGAGGCTTCAAAATCGCTATAAAGCAATGTGTTGATGATGCACTCACTTCAAAACTTCCTGTGTTTTACTTAGTCAACAGACCTCATATTAGTTTAGTGCCCTCGGCATATCCACTTCAAATGAACTTGGAATATAAATTTCTGAGTCTGAATTGGGCACAAGGAGATGTTTCTTTGGAGATTGTGGATGGCCTGAGTGGGAAGATCACTGAAAGTTCCCCATTTAAAAGTGGTATGTCAATGGCAAGTCAGCTTTGCAAGGCTGCAATGTTAAGTCAATTTAACGTCCTTGCCAAAGAAGCTAAAAAAGAATTACCTGAAGCTGGTACATATCATGCAGCTAAGTGTATGTCTTCCTCCTATCAATAAGCTAAATCTAAGCTGAAATCCTACTTACAACAACATGGCTATGGATCCTGGATTGTGAAATCTCCCTGCATAGAGCAATTTAATATGTGAATTAGGCAATCCATTGTCACATTAAAAGTCTTATATTGTTTGGGGTGTTTTGAATAGTAAAAATGTTTTTAAAATATTGGTGGTTTTCAACTTTCAGAATCAGAGTCTTAACAGCAGTGTGCAGCGATTGGTGAAAATTTCTAAATATTTCTGCCAAATTAAATTGAAACATTAGGGCTTTTTACTTTTTCATTTTCTTAGAAAAGGACTTACCTGTTTGAATATGTAGCCATATTGTATTTATTTGTACAGATATTATAAAGCCATTTTCCTTTTTGTAGTTGAATAGAGATTTTCTTTTAAGTTTTTGCTTTAAAGCTGTCCATATGGCTACTATATTCAACATTGTGTCCTGGCATCTCACTCAAATTTTTAAAAATTAAATATTGGATGTCAAGAATAAAAATAATGACTTGTACTCACAGATTAATTCAGCAGACATTTGACTGCCTAATATTTGCCAGTCACCATCCCAGGTGTTAAGTAAAAAAAAAAAACTAATATGTTATGTTAAAGGAGTTCATGAACACAAACTGTACATATAAATGTAGAAAAATATTACCCATGTTAAGGAATAGTTTGATAAAGTAGTTATTCTATTAACAGAGGGTTATCATATGTGCATTAAATAACATGGCCCATTTTCAACTGTCCTACAAGATCTATCTGCACCAAATGTGATTTAATTCTTTATAATTTAGATTATCAGGGATTTCTAAGTCAGTAAAGGCCATTTCGCTTTATATCTGTATGTGTTTACACAGTGATTAGAAGAAAAGGGAAAGTGTAGTTACTTTTGAGTTAGGATAAGTATCTTTAGTGAAATTGTTTGTCCCATACTTTAGCTTCTACCTCTTATTCCTTGGTTTACAATTACAGATATATTAAGCATTATTGGTTCTCAGAGTTTGTCCTTAACTTAGATCTTCACTAAACTTACAAATCACACACCTACCCCCCATGAACTATTACAATCACAGATGAGGTTTGTATGAATTGTTTTGGTTTTTTTGTCTGTTCTAAAAGCATGGTAGAATTTAGCTGATGAACAGTGAAGTCATGCTGGAAAGACATTTTTCAGTAATCTAAACTCTACTGATATTAAGTTAAATCATGTGAAGTTGCCTTTTTAGTGGATTAAAAAGGATCAAAATATGGGCAATTTCACATGGATTAAAATAAACAAAATATTAATAAATTTCATTTCAATTTTTAAAAATTCAATTTTTTAAATTTGATTCAATTACCTCCCACTGGGTCTCTCCTATGACAAGTGGGGATTATGGGAGCTACAATTCAAGATGAGATTTGGGTGGGGACATAGCCAAACTGTATCATTGCCCAACAGGATAATTGAGGAAGCTTAGTGGCTGCTGTGTGGTGAGGCACTTGGATTGGGTAATTTTGACGTTTTTAGGTATGTTTGAGCAGTTTGAATTTAGAAAGCAGGTTTGTGTTTCTTTTAAGGGATTTAAAGAAAGGGACTAATTCAGAGGCACCAGGTGGCCTGTCTTGTTTCCCCCTGGGGAGGGGATTTTCAGTGGGGCTTCTTTCCGTCCTACCAGAGCTGTCCTGGGGAGGTGTGCTCTGCTCTCAGCCTCTGCGAGTCTCTCCAGAAGGACCTGGCAGAGCCGAATCACCAGAAGCAGCTGGAGTCCAATACAATCCCAGAGCTGAACATGTGTGAACTGGTGGCCCCCTTCATGGCCAACATCCCTCTCCTCCTCTGCCCTCAGGGTGGACCCTGCAGCAAGCCCCAGCCAAAGGTAAGACAACAGGCTGGCTGCTGAGGGCCCCATTTTTGGTTGCACTGGAGATGAGAGACAAAAAGGGCAGAGAGTGCACCTGCAGTCCTTAAACTGGGGCTTATCCCTGCGCTTGACTCAGCAGTTACATGAGCCAGCCTTCAAATGGTTGTACCATGAAGTTTCTAAATAATGGAATATTTAAAATATGCAAAGATGAACCCCCTTTTAAAAAATTGTACCTCTTTTATTTTTGAGACAGGGTCTCGTTCTGCCACCCAAGCTAGAGTGCAGTGGTATGATCATCGTTCACTGCAGCCTCCACCTCTGAGGCTTAAGTGATCCTCCCACCTTAACCTCCTAAGTAGCTGGGAGTACAGATGCACACCTCCACACCTGGCTAATTTTTGTATTTTTTGTTTTGCCATGTTGTCCAGCCTGGTCTCAAACTCCTGGGTTCAAGCGATCTGCCTGCCTCAGCCTCCCAAAGTGTTGGGATTACAGGTGTGAGCCACTGTGCCTAGCCAACCTTTTTATACTAACCCTCCTTTTATACCGTACTGTCACTATAATGAACACTCAGTTGATTTTAAGTAATCAGTAATTTGAGAGCCTGTAAAGCACCTTAGGAACTGGTCAGTAAGTGCCCTCTAATGCTGTAGCCTTGAGTATATAAGGACGTTTCCCTAGGAATTTGAGTCCTCTAAAGTTGCTGACCTAACTGCCTCTCCTGTAGGTTGATGGGAACATTTATCAGGACTGCATTCAGATGGTGACTGACAGCCAGACTGCTATATGGACCAACTCCACCTTTGTTCAGGCCATGGCGGAGCATGTCAAGGAGCAGTGTGACTGCCTGGGCCCTGGCATGGTCAACATGGTGAGCCTTGTGTCCTTGTGCATTGAGGAAGCCCTGGGCCTGGCGACTGGGTTCTGGAGGCTAGAGTAGGGTGTTCAGACAGCACACTTTTCTTTTTTCCAGGAAAGCAGCTTGAGTAGGTAGTGGAGACTTGAATCTATTTTGGTCAGTGGAATCTGGATATGTAACAAAACTGGGGACAAAAAGTAGGAGACCATTTCTGGGAGGATTTTCTTTCTTGTGAAGTACCCTGTGTATTAGGAACACTGTAGAAACACTTTTTACTCCCCCTTTTTTTTGTTTGGGACAGAGTCTTGCTCTGTCACCCAGGCTGGAGTGCAGTGGCATGATCTCAGCTCACTGCAACCTCCACCTCCCTGGTTCAAGTGATTCTCCTGCCTCAGCCTCCTGAGTAGCTAGGATTACAGGTGCATGCCACTACACCCAGCTAATGTTTGTATTTTTAGTAGAGATGGGGTTTCACTGTGTTGCCCAGGCTGGTCTCCAACTCCTGACCTCAAGTGATTTGCCCACCTTGGCTTCCCAAAGTGCTGGGATTACGGGTGTGAGCCACTGTGCCCAGCCTTATGTGACACTTAGAATTCTAGCTGAGCTCCTGCAGCAAGCAGGATCACTGACCATGGTTCCCCTGGAAGCCTCCCTTAGTCCTCTGGGCTCAGAAACTCATTTTTTTGGCCCCGTAGGTAGATGGTTTCATTCTGGGTCCCTATTCCAACATTATTAATCACACTCTGGTGGATTTGTAAGACCAAAATGCTATTTTTAGTAACTGACAACTGAAGAAACCTGCTAGACTGGCAGGTGGGAAGCTGGTTGTAATCACTCTGTCCGTTGGGATATAGAGAGGCTTTTTGAGTGGGAGTGGCTGGCTCTAGGAGATGAGGATTTCTCTCTCCTCTTTTTTTCTTGAGACAGTGTTTAGCTCTGTCACCCAGGCTGGAGTGCAGTGGCACAGTCATAGCTCACTGAAGCCTTTAACATCCTGGGTTCAAGCAGTCTCCTCCACAGCCTTGCAAGTAGCTGGGATTACAGGAGTGAGCCACCATGCCCAGCTGAGGCTTTCTCTCTGACTTATTCTCCATTAGGAATGTCAGTCAGGTTAACATTCGTTGATTTTGTTAGCCTAGGAATCCTGTAGCCTCATTTTAAATGTCTTTGCATAACACCATTTAAATACATTTCCCAATTTGAACCCTCTCTGAGAGGCTGTATCAGATAGTCTGAAAATAGGCTGTGAAAAATCATTATAACTTGACTCTACTGGATTTAAGCTTTGCAGTGCCATCTGAGATGGTGTAAATGGTTTTGAAAGACAATCTCCAGTTCCTAAGTGGTGTATCTCCTAGCTTCCTTCTCTCCAAACTGCCACTGAATAGTTGCTGTATGATCCTGGGGCAAGTGGGGTTAGAGATAAAGGAGACAGGAGGATGGAATCTTTAAGGTCCCTTAAGATATATTTTCAAAGCATCTTTTGCACACGTTTTCTATAAATAATAGAATAACCAAATTGTCATTTTCATCTTATTAAAACTGGCCCCGAGCAGACATTTATCAAATTCTACTTTAGAAACTTGCTTGACAGTCACCAGTTGCCACTGTTGGAAATGCTGGGGTTTTTTTGGCTGGTTGGTTTTTGGTGCATTGTTGCAGTGATTTGTTTAGCAATCTGTTTCTTTCACCTCAGTGCAAGAACTGTATCAGCCAGTATTCCAAAATTGCCATTCTGATGAGGATGCACATGGTAGGTGGCACGGAGGCCCCTTGTTAGCATTTTTCTTTGTTTTTCAAATTTCATCATTTCCAGGAATTTTGAATATTCCATGGTTTAGTTTTCCTTTTTTAACCTTAGAGTACTGAATTGGGCCAAATGGAACCCTCTGGCTAGGGGACTCTCCACTTGCAATCTCAGTACCTTTCCCCATCATGGGAGAGGCTGAAGTGTCTTGATCCCTGGCACTGCCCTGGTGGTGGCTTCCTGACATTTTGTTAGTCTCTGCCCATTCAGGCCAGCCAGCAGGTTTCTAGGTCTGGCTGTAACCCTGGAATCTGTAGAAGTCAAGGGCTCTAACTGAGCCCCACCTGAGAATGGCTCTGTTGCTGCCTGAATGGGAGAATACTGCCTCCCAGAGTTTGTCCTGTGCACTGCAGCAGTGTCTGCTGAAGCTGCTGCTTGAGTTGGTAATTCCTGCACTGGCTTTGAAGGCATTCAGGTGGTAGGGGTGTTCCTTTATTAGAATCAAGAACACCCATCTGGGAAGGCACTGCCTCCTTAGATCTGATTGGCGGGGCTGAGGAGGTGGGCTGCACCTTTTTCTTCTCTGTCATGCTTTCGGAACACTTGAGATTGACATACCAGTGTTTGAGTTTGTTCTCTGATCCAGGGGTCAGCAAACTGGCCCATCATCTGTTTTGTACAGAAAGGGTACAAAGCAAAAAGGGTCATTTTTCAGAAGACAATGATGCCTGTTTTGTGCTACAGCAGCATAGTTGAGTAGTTGCAGCCAGATCTTATGGCCAAGGAGGCTGAAAGATTGACTCTCTGACCTGCTCTAACCACTCAAGCAAGGCATCCAGAAGGAGCAGTTTATTTGGGATTAAAACTCACAGCCTACCATGTTCTAAAGGCAATTAAAGGCAGCTTACAAAGACATGCACCTGAAGGAGGTAAAGATAAGCATTGATGGGACTTAGTCTCCTGAAAGCTAAGTTAAAATATTTTTTTCATTATAAAAGTTATACTGTGTAGAAATGTTTTGAAAAATATGGACAATACTTCCCACATCAAAAATCATTTGGAGTTTTAAAAAACATCAACGGGATCATATATACTGCCTTGTATTTTGTAGTTTGCATTTTTATCTAAACATATCTTGGCCATTGAATATTCTTGTACAGATGATTAAGTGCTTACATAATAATCACCTGTGAACATAGGACAGTATTTACATAACCAGTCCCCTGTGGTCAGATGTCTAGGTTGTTTTCAGGTTTGGCTTTGGGAAGATGAATATCCTTATAGCCAAATGCATACATGTATGCACATCCCTGCCTTTCCACTTAGTATAGAGAATGAAAGCTGGAACTGCTGAATGGAAGCATGAGGCTTTGGATATAGTGTTAAACTGGCCTTCCAGGGTGGCATTTGGCCACCTGTGGTAGATTGCCTAGGATCCCTGACCCCTCAGGGTGATTATAACACACCCCCCTTACTTGGGCAGCCCTGTGTCTTGGTCCGAGGTGCTGCTGGTCACTAACCTGTGGGAAAGCCTTGCGGGCCTGGGGCTGGTGTGGGCTCCTGAGGAATGGAGACCTTTCATCAGGTGGTGTTTTTCTAGGGCCCCTGATGCACAATGTTTAGAGTGTGATTTAGTGTGTGAGACATGGAGATGGTGCACACACAAGCAGGACGGCCCCCAAATGCTCTATCCCTGCAGGGCCTGGAAAGCTTTCAGGGGCCCCTTGTCCACAAGACAGCAGGGATAAGGTAGGTTGCTAAGATCTGACCACAGCGGCATTTCCCCTGAACTTCTTGAGCCATTCTTACACGTGGTTAACTGCTTGATTGTTGTTTTAATTTTTCTTAACTGTTGTGTCCTTTCCTTTCTCTTATTTTCACCTCTGATTTCCTGTCTTTTTGTTCAACAGCAGGATCAGGTATGTATCCACTACTATAATCTGCTTATTGTGGTCTGCTGCTTCTTCTAGTCACTTTCTTTTTTTTTTTTTGGCATGGTATGATTAACTCTGACACATTGACACATACAAGGAATGGTTACAGAGGCAGGGTCCCTCTCCGTTAATAATTTTCAGCTGAAGAGGGCTTCTGCATCTCTCCTCTGTAATTCAGCCCATGAACCCTTGAGGTGTTGGGGGGGGTCTCACCTCCTCTTGAGGGGGAGCCAGAAAAACGAAGCCAACAGAGCATTTTGTTCTGGTCACAATCCACATAAAGCATATGTACATGCAGGCCACCAGTGTGAGGATAGGGAACCATAGGTAGCCCAGCTTCCTTCAGCATAGGCTGGCTAGGAAGTCCAGTGTAGGTCTGGCTTCCCCAGGGCACCTTGTGTCTGTCACAACACAAGTAGGCATTGCATGTGTTTAGTGCTGTTTTTCATAACCACAGAAATGCTTCTTCTGCATGAGCAAACATTTGTAAGCAGCCAGCAGGCTGGCTGTTGGATCCAGAGAATTGGAAACAATCTCTTGATTGTGGCTTCTGCCCCTCTGGGTGACAGGGTCTTTTGGGATCTAGAGGCACATCAAATGGCACGCTGGAGGGACCAAGTGCCCTGTCCATACTTGCTCTGAGCCAGGGTCCTTTGGGACCGTCCTAAACACTGCTACCTTCTGAGCATCAGCATCCATCCTAGGATTAGCATAAGAGCTTTTCTTGAAGGTATTTTGAAGTCTAATGGGAGAGCACTTTGGTTGAAATACCCGAATTTTCACCTAGGCCTCTTAAAGGAGTTAGAACAAAACCAATAGAGGCAGAAGCAGCCCTATACCTCCTGAATCTTGGCCTCTCTTTTTCTAAAAAGTTTGCTGTATCTTCAGCTGTGTTCTGATTTTTTTTTTCATTCTTAAGGTGTGCCAAAGATAGGGGACTTGGGATATACTTTTCAGACACCCCCAGTCTTATTTAATTCTCAAGCCTTCTTGATATTAAAACAAGCTGAGCCATAGTCATAATCTAGCTCCTTTCCCTTAACAGGTCCCATTTTTAGCACTTTTGTTCCTGCTGCTTTAGGGTTTGGTGCTGGGAGGCAAATGCAGTCAGGCTCAGAGCTGGTTGCTGGTCATTGATTTCCATGGTATACAGAGTTTATAGGCTTGTCTCGCTCTTAGCCATCAGTGTCATGGTGGATGTCTGGACTAGCTAGTGCTCTGTGTTTGGTGTCTAGATGGTGAAAGGGATCAATCCAGAGACGTTGTGGCTTGAAATGATTCATCCATTCGGGGATTGGGTTTTCATGTGCACTGTGTACCATTGCGAACACAGAATGTGGTTTTTAAAAAGCCAGCATTTCCCCTTAATGCCTCATTTTAAATGGTCCTGACACTGAAAGATCTGATGTGGTTTGATTTCTAACACATTTGGCTTTCTGCTACTTTATAGGCATGATAGTTTCTCCTCTAAAAGAAACATAGCTTAGTTCCTACCTAGAGTGGCCTGAAAAACACATTCTAGAGCAGACCAGGTGTCCTTGGAGGTGTTGAAGGTGCTGGGGAGTCTCCCTTCCTTGTGGTGGCTCTGGATAGAGACTCTGTTCAATGTCCCTTAAGCGTTTTGTGTGGCCTCCTCCCCTAGATGCAACTAGCACATATGTACTGCTTCAGACATGAGCCCTTTAACATAGAATCTGGAATCTGTTCACTTGGGGGAGGGGGAGAGGGAGAGGGAGGCAGCCTTGACACTGGGCCCAGGGTGCTGTCCAGCTCGCTGTCATTTGGCTGGATGGGACTGGGGGGCAGTGGGCACAGGTACCACTGACTGGTTGTTTTGTGCTCTCTTCAGCAACCCAAGGAGATCTTCTGGCTCATTGGATTCTGCGATGAGGTGAAGGAGATGCCCATGCAGACTCTGGTCCCTTCCAAAGTGGCCTCCAAGGACGTCATCCCTGCCCTGGAACTGGTGGAGCCCATTAAGGTACCCAGCATCACTGTGTGTGCTGGCCAGGGCTGTGCAATGCCACGCCACTCCCTGCTGTGTCATATTACATACATCCTACAAGCCACATGTTTCTTTTGGTTCCCTGCCTGGCTCCCAAGGGTCTTTGAGTTTATCACTGGTTCATGCTGTCCCCTATATTCATGCAACCCCCAACCCTGAGTTCTCTTGGAAACATTTTATTTCTGTGGTTGTCAACCCTAATGTTTGTGGGATCAAGTCTGCATATTTTCAGTGTGCCATTCACAGGTGACTTTGCAGTGTCTGGCTCCAGCCTCACCTTCTCACATGCGCTGTCTGGGTCCCTCCCCATCCTGTGGCCCTGACAGACTGGATGTCCCCAGCACACCCCTCAGAGTATACGGAAGTCTCACTGGGCCTGTGTGGTGTCTCTTTTGTTTACAACATTTCATTTGGTGAAGATCAGACTACTTTATCCCATAATAAATGTGTATTAGGCATTTATTATGGATTGGGCAGTGTTGGGGGCTATGGCAGACAGATGATGTCATTGTGCCCATGGGGCTTACATGGTAGTTCTTCAAGGCCTGGGCTGTGTGATGCCTTAATACATGGTGCATGCACACGCTTCTTGTTCTAGAACATCACACGGCACTTGACTGCCAGCTGCTCGTCTCTCTCTGCTGTCTCCTCTCTGCATGTGCAGAGTGTGTAGCCCAGGGGACAGGCCGAAGTGTCAGCTGGAATCCAGGAAGCACTGTTTCCTGCCTTCCCTTACATGGGGTGCTCCTCAGCCCAGCCCTGCCTGGTCATGAAAGTGATGGCCAGAGAAAGTGAAGAGTTACAGCCACATGTGACTACTTAAGTTTCAGTGAAATACCATGGAGCAAAATTAAAAATCCTGCCCCTTGGCTACACCAGCCACATTGCAAGCACTCAGTGCACAGGGAGCTACATCCTCTAGTGGACAGCAGGGGTAGAGAACATTCCCATTGTCACAGAACAGTCTCTGTAACAGTATTACCTTATTAAAGGTGGGTTCTAGAAAAACATTCTCAAGTGCTTGAGACTCAGGAGACACGAGCAGACCTGAAAGTATTCAGTGTTCTGTCTTCTACAGAGTGCGCCCCAGTGAACTCCTCACTTCATCCTTCTCCCCAAAATGAACCCTGAATGATGAAACAGTTGTAACTGAACACATCATCAGGACGGCTCCTTGGGATGGGGAAGGGACTTTCTATCTTCTGAACTATGAGTTCCTGAGTTTTGTTTTGGTGGGGTTAGGGGGAAGTACTGGTGGTAGAGGATTGGTGAAAGGGGGGCAGTGAGTTTCCCACCATATAAAAACAGGGGATTAACTTGGATATCAAGAGGAAGTGACATATCATTTGCAATTCAGTAGGCAGTGGTCCTTGATGTGGCTAACCCACCCTGGTCTCTGCATCCCTTTCCTTTAGGGGAGCCAGACCAAGGGCTGCGAGTACTCTACTCTTTCCACAGAAGCACGGGGTCCCAGCAAAGACTGATGTTTACTGTGAGGTGTGTGAATTCCTGGTGAAGGAGGTGACCAAGCTGATTGACAACAACAAGACTGAGGTGTGCTGTCCTCCTGGCAGGGTGCGGCCCTCTCCTGCTCCCTGAGCCAGAATGTTCCAGTGGGAAAATCCCACAGGAGAGAGGGCTTGGCCCAGCCTTGGCATGTATGCAGCCACATCCCATCTCGTGGAAGGCAGTCCTCACCAGTGGGACCTCTAGGCTGGTGGGGGCAGGGTGGGGGAAGGGTATGCACTGTTGCCCTGCTTTGTGGCTCCATAGTTTCCTGGGGATGGAAGCAGCACCCATCATCGACTCATTTCCTGGACATGTTAGCATTTTCAGAATCTCCTCCACCCTTGCCCAGCCTCCCAACTTCTCACAGGATCCTCTCATGTGCTTCAGAAAGAAATACTAGACGCTTTAGACAAAATGTGTGCGAAGCTGCCAAAGTCCTTGTCAGAAGAGTGCCAAGAGGTGGTGGACACATATAGCAGCTCCATCCTGTCCATCCTGTTGCAGGAGGTCAGTGCCGAGGTGGTGTGCAGCATGCTGCGCCTCTGCTCCAGCATGCAGCTGCCTGTGCTGACCAGTGAGCACTGGGTGTGGGAGAGGATGGTGCCCCTCTTGGGTCGGGGAGGGCCCTGCCAGCACTGAGCCTGCCACCCTCTCATGTAGTTCACTTGACTCAGCCAAAGGACAGTGGCTTCTGTGAGGTGTGCAAGAAACTGGTGGGTTATTTGGATCACAACCTGGAGAAAAACAGCACCAAGGAAGAGATCCTGACTGTTCTTGAGAAAGGCTGCAGCTTCCTCCCCGACCCTTACCAGAAGCAGGTATGCCCAGGCTGGGCTATGGTAGGCCAGCATCTCAGAACCTGATGCCAAGGCTGGGGTACATTTTCACGGAAAACCAGCTGTTTCTGCCTCCGGCCATGGAGTCAAATGAAGTTTTACTTGGAGCTAATTCATTGGCTTAAGATGAGCCACTGGGGGAGGCAACCTGAAGTAGAGAGGCCAAATGTAGGTAGCAGCTCTGGGAAGGGAGGCCCCAGGACCACTGGGCTGGGAATGCCAGGAGCTCTCAGGGAAGAGTGTATCCAGGGCCTGCCTGGCCTTTTGTGCCCCACTGTGCTCAGACAACCCCAGAGCTGACCTGTGTCCCTGCTTTCCTTTACAGCATGATCAGTTTGTGGCAGAGCATGAGCCCATGCTGATCAAGATCCTGATGGAGGTGATGGACCCTTCCTTCTTGTGTTTGGTGAGGCTTACTGGGTGGTGTGGGTCCTCTTGGGCAGCTGTAACCTGGGGGGCTGTAGATATCTGGAAGAGTTGCTCTGAGATGTGGCCGTGGGGTGGAGTCTCTGTGTTTTGCTGTGGGAGAGCCAAGAAGACAGGAAGCCAGCCCCTAAGCCCCATCACTTTCCTCAGCAACCCTGATGTTCTGAAAGAGCATGGTAGATAGAGCTCGGATCCCAGCTCCTTCTGGAACCTGTGATCTTAGTTTTGAAAGAGATATGTTGGGCAGCTTTCATTCTCTCGCTTTCTTTTTTCCTTTTCTCACCATATAGAAAATTGGAGCCTGCCCCTCAGCCCATAAGCCCTTGTTGGGAACTGAGAAGCATGTATGGGGCCCAAGCTACTGGTGCCAGAACGCAGTCACAGCAGCCCCATGCAATGAGAGTAGCTCAGCACACGGCATCACCAGCCTGTCTTGCCCTAGAGCAGCCTGCGTGAGAATCCTGCTTTAGTGGGAACTTGGTGTCAGCTCTCCACCCTGCTTTTATGTTGTTGGAAAACTGAGGCTCAGAGAGGTGGTTAGGCTTACTCATGGTCCCCCAGAAAAGGCAGGGTGAACTATACTCTTGGAATGAAGGGTGGGGTAGATCATTTTTTTCAGTATTTTTTGCTTCTGTTTTGTTGTTTTTGTCTTCATTTCCCTTGTGACAGTGTCAGACTTGTACAGCGTCACTCCAGGGACTGCACAAGTTCTGTGGGATTCATCGCCCAGGCACTGTTCCCCAGAAACATGTTTGTCCTGGCTGGAGCCTGGCCTGAGTTTCACTCAAGGCCCTGAGAGCTGGTCCCTGCCCAGCTGCCCCAGGGCACTGTGGCCCTGGCCTGGCCTGGCAGCCACCAGCTGGGTGACCTGGGCTGCTTCCCTGGGTGGGGATGTTTGGTCCAGTCCCTGTTGCTTAATGTTGCTTTGCACAACTTTTCCTTCCTCCCCGGGTTTCCTTGTGACCATGTCAGTGACGGTTGTGTCATCTCGGACCACTGCAGGGAACAGCAGGGGACCCCCATTCTGGCCACATCCAGCTCTTTCCTTCAGCTAGGTGCCAGCTCATCTCCACCACCAGCCCCACCCCACACGTGGTTCTGCTGCTGTCCTGGGAAAATGTGGACCCACTTCTCAAGGCCCGAGCTGGTGTGTAGCCCAACTCAGGCAAGGAGGTTCTGCCTGGGGATCAGTGTGCAGGCTGCTAGCAGGATGCTGGGTGCCAGACCCCATCTCCTCCAGATGACAGTCCATGCAATGACTGAGAGGTCGTGGCTAGAGGCCACTCACGTGCTGCCAGGCCCCTAGCCATGGTGAAGACCTGGCTCACATCTTCAGAGTTGTTGACAAGGGCCTGGAAGTAGTGGATGGCCAGAATGCTGTAGAAGGCAAGGTTGTTGTTGCCAATGTCTGTGTCCAGGGCCAGCACCCAGACCAACTCTGAGCCCACCTTGATGTCGGTGGCCACCCCTGCAGGAGCAGGCAGGCAGTGTAAATGGCAGGGCAGGGGCCACCCCACACCTTGTGCCCAGGCTCCAGTCCCTGCACCTGCAGTGTACTCAGCCTTGGTGAAGTGTGGCAGCTGGTCGTTGATGTCCTCTAGCACAACGTGTACCTCGTGCAGTGTGAGGTCAGCACCCAGGTTGAGGGCTGGGGAGGGTCCATGGGGAGGTGTCCAGCTGCAATTGCTGGAGGCCTTATGATGAAGGAAAAGACAGCTTCTCGTTCCCAGTCCAGGTCCTGCAGCAGCAGCTGATGCCAGTCAGTCTGCAGATGGAAGTTCTTCTCTTCATTGCCAGCTAAGGGTGGGACCATGGCACAGGGTGAGGGGGCAAGGCCAGGGGTGGGGCATATTGGATCATCTCTAGCCCCAGGTAATCAGAGCATTAGCTCTGTTGGGCCCCACCTGCGATGAAGTAGTACACGATGGTGTTGGGGCCCTCATCTGTGTCCACGGCCCCTGTCACATTGCCCATGAGGGTGCCACGTGGCGAGTGCTCAGGTGCTGTCAGCAGCTGGTACTGGGGGCTGCCTTTCTGCAGGGGGAGGGGGACGTCATCACAGGGGGCCAAGGGAAAGCCTGAGCTTCCAGTCCCTGCTTTGGGGCCCTAGGCAGTAACTTTGTAGGTGCTGAGGGAGTTTACTGTCCAGGCCTTATGGGGTGAATAGAACTGTGGTAACCTCAAGGGAACAAAGCATAGTCTGGGGACCTGAGCTCTGCCCTCACAGAGTGTTGCCCAGAACCCAAATGAGTGTTTAAATGAGAGGAGCACACACCTTACTCTTATATGCATATGCATGTGTATGCATGCACACTCAACAGTCTCCAGGGCACATCACATCCCACGTACACACAAGAAAAAACAACCAGAGTTGGAGTCCACAGGAGGGCCCCTTAGCCCTGCCCTCAGATTTCATCTCAGCCCCATATCAATAAATCAGAGCTGGATGGAGTGCAGTGGCCCAAGCCTGTAATCCAGTATTTTGGGAGGCTGAGGCAGGAGGATCACTTGAGATCAGGAGTTCAAGACCAGCCTGGCCAACATGGCAAAACCCTGTGTCTACTAAAAATACAAAATTTACCCAATCTAAGCGGCAGGCTACTTGGGAGGCTAAGGCAGGAGAATTACTTGAACCCGGGATGTGGAGGTTGCAGTGAGCTGAGATCACGCCACTGTACTCCAGCCTGTGCAAAGGAGCAAGACTCCATCTCAAAAAAAAAAAGAAATCAGAGCTGATTTTCATGCTTCGTGTGTGTGTGTGTGTGTGTGTGTGTGTGCGCACGCGCGTGCATGCAATGAAGTAGTACACGATGGTGTTGGGGCCCTCATCTGCATTAGTAGTTAGTACACGATGGTGTTGGGGCCCTCGGGCGCACATGAGCAGGCATAAACAAGGGTATCAGTTCCATGAGTCAGGCATTTTGGTCTGTTTTTTTGTTTTTTGTTTTTTAAAAGCTGGGTAGTGTCTTGAAATAGTGCTCAGTATAACTCAATACAGTGTAACACAGCTGCTCAATAAATAGTTGTTCTTGTATGAAGTGCATGCAGAGAGATGCTTCTGTGTCTAGCCAAATGTGTATTCTGGCGCAGTGTGTATAGCAGAGTGTGTACATGCGTGTGTTTGCAGGCAGGTGAGTCCCTGTGTGGAAATGACCAGCGCAGGAGGTGGGCAAGCTCACCAGATGCCTTACAAAGAGGGATTCGTTGTCATCTATGTCCTCCAGGGCCACCTACAGCAGCTGCATAGTCTCGTATGGCACCGGCTTGCCCAGGTCACTGCCCACCAGATGAGCTAGAAGCGGAAGAGTGCTGTCAGAGGGGAAGACTGAGAGCAGCGGATGGCTTGGGACTTCCCAGTGGCCAGGTCCCTGGGAGACTTTCCAGGAGGCGAGGTGCAGGACCCTAGCCCAGAAGAAAGCCTGCCCCAGGCCCCGCCTTTCACACCAGGCCCCACCCTTATGCTGTATACTGCCTGGGTCTAGCCATCCAGGCACTGCGCAGTCTGGATGAAGCCGCTGATTGGGTCGATGGTGAAGAATTCCTAGTCCTGGCTGCCCGCAGTCTTCAGGAAGCTGTAGCGCACCACCCCGTTGAGGCCCTTGTCTTTGTCCATAGCATAGTCCTTGTACACGTTGGAGCGCAGCAGGATCTCCTGTGGGGGTGCATGGAGAGGGAAGCTCCTGGACCCCTGAGAGAATCTCAGTTCTCAGGCCCTGAGGGAGCCCTCACCCTTTCTCCTGTGGTAGCTCAACATCCTAGACACCTTCCAGCACCCGCCAAGAGCACCTGCCTGCTCGGCTGGAATCCTGGCTTCTGCTAGCTGTTGTCCCTCTTCTCTCCTCCCCAACCCAAGCTAAGGCCATTGTCCACTGACAGTCCAGCCTGAGAGCCACATGTTTCAAGCCTTCCCAGGGTGATCATTTTCCCAGGAACTGCCTGCATCCTTTCAGTCTCATTCATTGCATGCTGAGGTTTAGGGGACAGAGGGGACCCAAGCGCAGAGGCCACAGCCACCCTTTGTCCTGTATCAGTCTGGCTGTCTCTGCTACCCTAAACACAAGAACTGTGGGTGTCCCCAAACAACACCATCCATCCAATAGAGTACCTGAAAATGGGGGACCCAAAGGCAGGATGACCTGGTGGATAGGATAGGGGTTGGCCACCGGGGTCTAGTCTGTTACTAAGCTGCCTGGAACCTGGACATGCCACCTCACCTCTCCAAGCCTCAATCTCCCGAACGCCATTGTGCTAAGTCCAAGATCTTGAAAACCTCATTGAAATCATACATTGACCCATGACAAAGTTGCCCAGAGCAAAAGAAAGGGCACATTTCTTTGCTTTTGTTTGAAAAATGATCAGCTCAGCATGGTTTCATTGTTTATCTCACAGATCGTGACAACTGGAAGTTCTAAATGGCAGTTATGCCTAATTAATAAAAAGTAGGATGACATATAGGGAATTAACAATTGCTGGTTGTTCAGGAGACATAAATCTTTCCAAATGCAAAACCCTTGAAGGGAAAGTCTTCACAAATGGGGCCTTTGGTGTGAAAAATGACTATATTCTTATTAATTTATGCCCTGCCTTATTCCATAAAAGAGATTTGATACAGCTGACAAGAATGTATAAATTATAATAAGATTCACCAAGTTAAAAAACTAGGGTAAAGAAAAATTGGTTGGCAGGAAGATGGAAGCTGAGGGGTGGGAAGCAAGATGTAAGCCCTAAGCCTGTGCAGGGTCACTAGAGATGGTCTGACCACTCTGAGCTCCCTAGCGGGCACAGCAAAGGAAACTAACTGCTCAATCACTGCAGACGAGACACTAGACACAGGTAAAAAAGCAAAGGACATGGTAAAGGCACAATGCTTCTTCAAGCTCAGCCCTGGGTGAGTTTTCTCCTGCAGGACCTCAAAGAGGAGACAGAGTGACACGATGGACTTAGCACAGACATTCTGAGATGTGAAGCCTGGATGGAGTTTGGGGGACAAAGAACAAGTGGGAGACACTCTGATGGTGCCACTAAGATGCACTCTGGGCCTATATGCTTAGGGGAAGCAGGGGGAGCAGAAGACAAAGGAGTACTTCCCTTACTTTATATGGCAACTTAGAGCAAGAAGTGGAAGAATTGGAGTGATTCAAGAACCTTGCCACTTCCCCTTGTTTCTTATTTTGATGCTCATCCTCAGCTCCTATGCTGTCTCCACACTGTATCAGTAGGAACAACAGACAGACGGAAGGAGCATGTGTGTTTATTCTGAGACAAGTATGGGGGAAGTGGGTCATGGAGGAGCCTGTCCTTCTTGGTAGACATCTAGGAGAAAGAGATGGGGTGTTTACTTATTATTAATCCTGTTTTGCAGAGGAAAAAAGACACTTGCAGAAGTCACTTGCTCAAAGTCATTGGGCTGATAAGCAATAGAGTCAGACTTCAATCAAAGACTTTTTTTGGCAGAGTTTCACTCTGTTGCCCAGGTTGGAGTGCAGTGGTGTTATCTTGGCTCACTACAACCTCTGTCTCCTGGGTTCAAGTGATTCTTCTGCCTCAGCCTCCCTAGTAGCTGAGATTACAGGCATGTACCACCATGCCCAACTTTTTTTTTTTGGATTTTTAGTAGAGATGGAGTTTCACAATATTGGCCAGTCTGGTCTCAAACTCCTGTCCTCAAATGACCCACCTGCCTTGGCCTCCCAAAGTGCTGTGATTGTGGGTATGAGCCACTGCACCTGGCCAAACCAAAGATCTTTTGCTGGCACAGTACGTATACTAACTACTGTTTAATATTGCCCTGTGTGCACCGGGCAGGTCTGCCTCCTTCTCTGGCCTCAGTTTCCCCACCTTTACAAACTTTTTTAAATTAAAAAAAATTTTTCCCTGGAGCTACTTTCCTGAAGCCAGTTCCAGCAAGTGAAAGGAGCAGTGGTTCCATGGCAGTCCTAGCAAGGGGCTTCCTTCTGTTCTACCCACTGCCTCCCAGAGTCCCTGCCTGCTCCCCAAATCAGAGAGGAACCCCCAAGAAGCATGGGCTGGGACAGGACAGACCTAGTCTGACTGACTCTCCTAAGACGTTTCTTGTTCCTACCTGTAAGAGGGACTGGTGGCTTCTCCTTTCATTGGCTTCATCCCAGAGTAAGACCTCATCTTCCTCTCAGGCACCAGGGGCTCTGGGATTCCCTTCCCCCTTGGCAGATTCCCCTTCTGGGCTGCTGTCCTCCATGGGTCCCCAGCCAGGGGGTAGTCCCTTACCCTGGACCTCCTCCTCTTCCTACTCTCGCTCCCTGTCCCCTAGGCTGGGGAGCAAGGATGGGGAGAGGGCAGCTGCATTCAGTCTGCAAAGGCTGGGCCATGGCCTTGGCCCTGGCCCCACAGGACAATAAGGGTAGTGAGGGTCCAGTGGGCATTGAGGAAGGCAATGGAGTGAGGCAGAGAAGAGATGTAGGAAGTGACAGAGAAACAGAGCTCAAACCTGTTGTCCTGCCAGCCATGAGGAAGAGAGAAGATGGTTAACATCAGATAGTTCAGGATGCAGTGGGGATGGAGCAGAGCTGGGTAGGGAGGACAGTGGGAACTTGAGAGCTGAGCTGCTGATGGGGTTAGAGGAGGGAGGGAGGGGTGGAAACAGGGAGTGGGGAAGGGAATAGGCACTGGAAAGGAAACCAGGGGAGCAAGCGGAAGCTCATTTGGAGTGGAGCGCTCAGGGGCTGAGGCTCTTGCAAGAAGAGAAGGGAGCAAAGTGGGCAAGGGAGGTGGGAGGGCTGAGAAGGTGGCAGAGAAGACACTAGAAAGAAAAATAGAGAAAAGAATCAGTTGGAGGAAAAGGGAACAT